GAGGGGGTGCAGGAACAGAGCTCCGGGGATGGGGGTAGGGAGTGCAGGAACAGAGCTCCGGGGATGCGGGGGGAGCAGGAACAGAGCTCCGGGGATGGGGGGGGGGGGTGAAGGAACAGAGCTCCGTCAGCCAGGGGAGCAAGGAGGATGGTGCTGAGACCCTCTATGAAACCCGGCCTGGCAGAAGGGGGGCCAGATTGAGATGAGAAGGGGAGTTAGGGACTTTTATGGGCATGAGGCTGGGACTCTTTTGGGGGTGGCAAAGGGAGAGCAGAGAGCTCCGTCAGCCAGGGGAGCAAGGAGGATGGTGCTGAGACCCTCTATGAAACCCGGCCTGGCAGAAGGGGGGCCAGATTGAGATGAGAAGGGGAGTTAGGGACTTTTATGGGCATGAGGCTGGGACTCTTTTGGGGGTGGCAAAGGGAGAGCAGAAATTTGTGCTCAGATCAGGGAAGGCAGGTGGGGGCATCCCAGGAAGGGGTAGGGCTGGCCCTGCCCTGGGCAGGGTGATGTGGGAGGTGGGCACTTGCTGGACTTTAGGAGATGGGGTATCTGCCTGTGCCCCTGTCTCACTTGAGGGTCCCAATTATCTGGGATTCAGCTGCCAACGAGGTCACCCCCACGGGGAGGGGGGCTGCACATCTGGCCAGCATCCCTGTGGTAGGTTTACCCGTGGCAATTAAAGCTTTGGCCCTTCTGTTTAGCCAAAGCAGCACAGATTAAAGGGCACTTTTATGTAACCAGGATGAATTTGAAACCACCAGTCCTAGGGACAAGAATGGTTACTTTTCTCCCAAATGTTTTTATTCCCTTATTTGAGCCTATCTCAGAGGTAGTTGCTGATTTAGCTCGTAGATAGACACTGTAGATTCTAGTGTTGGGATATATGTGGATGAACACTTTTTCAAAAGGCACTTTAGGGCCCTAGTCACAGGCTGGCTGCTGTATCCGGGCTTCCTTGTGTCATTATTGTAGTGTTGGGCGTGCTCAGGGGCCGCTCCCACCACCCTCTCACTCCCTGGCTGTGCGCCTCACGGGAGTTGTGCCGCTGGCTCTTCTGGGTTCCAACACTCTTGGATGCTGGTCTGGGGGCTTCCTTCCTTCCTTCCTTCCTTCCTTCCTTCCTTCCTTCCTTCCGAAGGTTAGATTTTCTTTTTTTTAAAAGTATTTTTATTGATTTCAGAGAGGAAAGGGAAAGGGAGAGAGATAGAAATCCTATATAATAAAGAGGTAATATGCAAATTGACCCTCCCCCATCATGTCATCACAAGATGGTGGTGCGCACTGGGGGCGGGGGCGGGGCCGGTGGCTACTCCACGTGGCCTGGAGTTGGGGCATTGGGGCGGCACTCCAGGACTTAGGGCCATCCCGCTGTGCGCCAGCCACATGGGGCGGGACTCCGGGACTCAGGGCAGTATGGGGGGCAGGTGGGGGGAGGGGTCCTGGGTCTCGCACGATTTCACGGCATGGGTCACTAGTATTAATGATGAAAGAGAATCATTGATTGGCTGCCTCCTGTATGCCCCCCCACTGGAGATCAAGCCTGAAACTTGGGCATGTGCCCTGACCAGGAATCAAACTGTGACCTCCTGGTTCATAAGTTGACACTCACCCACTGAGCCACGCCTGCTGAGCCTGGAGATGGTTCTAATGGAACCAATGACACCGTGGGATGCGTGCATTTTACTTAAAAATCTGAGGCTTCATGGGTGTGCCCAGATTTATTCCTCTGCAGTGACACCCCAGGGGGCTGGTATCTATGACCTGCCCATGGGCCACATGGTCACACACTCCCTGTTCTCCCTGCAGGAGCTTCACAGTGGGGACCCCAAGGAGGGACCTTTCCGGGAGGACCAGTGTCCTCTAGAGGGTAAGTCCTGCTACCCAAACCCCACAGACTCTACCCTGTACCCCAGGCATATACCTGAAACCTGCCCTAGGACACTTGGACAAGCTGAGGCCCTGATGACATAGGCACGCCCACTCCATGCTCCTTAACTTCCCACCAAACCCAGACCAACACAGGCAGCCTCCTCCCCACCTTGATCTCCGAAGCCACTGCTGGCTGGGTGGGCAGATCCAGGAAGACACCGCTGGCTATGGCTATGCCAGGTGAGGGCTGAGGGCACACCTGACCATGGCTATCCCAGGTGAGGGCTGAGGGCACACCTGACCACGGCTATCCCAGGTGAGGGCTGAGGGCACACCTGACCACGGCTATCCCAGGTGAGGGCTGAGGGCACACCTGACCATGGCTATCCCAGGTGAGGGCTGAGGGCACTCCTGACCACGGCTATCCCAGGTGAGGGCTGAGGGCACTCCTGACCACGGCTATCCCAGGTGAGGGCTGAGGGCACTCCTGACCACGGCTATCCCAGGTGAGGGCTGAGGGCACACCTGACCACGGCTATCCCAGGTGAGGGCTGAGGGCACACCTGACCACGGCTATCCCAGGTGAGGGCTGAGGGCACACCTGACCACGGCTATCCCAGGTGAGGGCTGAGGGCACACCTGACCACGGCTATCCCAGGTGAGGGCTGCCCTGCCCTCTGCACAGATCTGATGCCTCCTTGTTCTGGAAGGCTGGGCTCTCAGCTCAGGCCTATTTGGAAAGGAGCACAGGCTCCCAGCCCCACCTCCCGGCATCCCCGCTGCTCTGAGTCACCTGCCTGGGCGGGATGGGGTGGCGGATGGCTCTCCCTCACTCCTTCTTCTACCTCCAGTGGCACTGCCCCCTGAGAAGGCTGAGGGTCGAGAGGGTCCCGGACAGCTCTTCAGTACAGATGATGTGGAAAGAGCGGCAAACCGCGAAGGTCCACGAGGCCTGGGCAAGAAGCGCCTGAACATCGACGTAGGTCTTTGCTCTGCCTCAAGGTGCAAAAGGGCCCGCGCTGGGCTAGGTGCATATGGGCCCTAAAACAGGGCCTTGCCTGGGCAGTTTGCCTGAGGTTCAGCCGGTTGGAGGAGTTATAGCAAAGCTTGCATGTGCTTCCGACATCCGCCAGCTCTGGGTAAGGGGGTGGGGATGGACAAGGAAGGTGTGGCCACAAATCCAGCTGAAACTGGCCAGTGTGGCACCAAATAACCCGGGGGACTTCCTGGTGTGGCGCCAGCACCCCGGGATGCCACAGAGGTCCACCATTGGCCTCCAAGGCAGGAGCTCCTGGGAGCAGTGGAAGGACACCTGTTTTCCTGAGAGGTGGGGGGAGGCTCGGGGTGACGACCCACCCGCCCTGACCCCTTGTGCCCTGCAGGCGCTCCAGTGCGACGTCTCGGTGGAGGAGGACAACCGCCAGGAGTGGACCTTCACGCTCTACGGCTTCGACAACAGTGGGAAGGCCACCAGGGAGGTGATGCACTTGTGTCTTCAAAAGATGGTCCACCGGGCAGGGAGCTGGCAGCAGACAGATGCCAGGGCCCTGGTCTTGGTGATGAGGAGACCGGCCGAGCCCTCTAGGGTGGGAGGAGAGGCCGGACCTTCCCCAGGCGTGGGCGCCGCGGTGACCCAGGCAGCCGCTGGAGCCTGGGGAGCCCTGTGGCCCAGGCTGTCGGCACAGTTTCCTGCAGAGCCTGTGTCTGGGTCCCCCTGAGGCTCAGTGGGGCCAGCAGCTCCTGGGCAAGGTGGTGAGGGTCCCGGGATGCCCTCGGCGCTCACCTCTGCTGGCTGTGGGTCCAGGATGGGCAAAGAGCCGCTGGGAAGGAAGCAGACACAGAGGACAACAGAAATAAGTGCCTTTGGGTTAAAGAGCAAAACTTAGGTAGTTACCTGACTGCTAAGTCCTTTGAACATGTAGATTGAGTGTGAAATTTAAAAGGTCCAAGAGATGTGATTTCAACAATAGCAGGGCTCCTTACCCCGGAGGTTTGGGGCCGCCGCACGGGGCTAACGCTGGGGTGAGAAAGGCTGCTCAGTGAGTCGTCCTGGCTGAGGCAGGGGCTTATGGGATGCAGGTGACTCAGGCAGGCAGCCTGGAGGCGGTGGCGTGGGCAGTTCCCCAGCCCGTCTGCCTGTGTCAGTGACGTCGGTGCCATCCTCAGGACATGTCCAGCCTGATGCACACCATCTACGAGGTCGTCGACGCCTCCGTCAACCACTCCTCCGGCAGCAGCAAGACCCTCCGAGTGAAGCTGACCGTCAGCCCCGAGCCCTCCAGCAAAAGGAGGGAGGGTCTCCCCGCCAGCCAGGGTGAGGGGCTGGGCCCCTGCTCCGATACCCTGAAGACCCACCCCTCCCTGCAGACCCTCCGCCGGCCCTTACCCCCACTCTGCATTTCCCCACAGCCCTTACCTCCCATACACCAGGTCAGGGGAGTCATAATTGTGTCTACTATTCAGCGCCCCATTCCCGCTCCTCTCCCCACCGGGGCAAACTCTCTGGTTTCCTGAACATGGAAAGCAGGGCCTAGCACCTGGCAGGGGCTCAGAAGTGTTTGCTCAGTAAATGGATGAAGGAGGGAATGAAGGAGTGAACGAATGAATGAGTGACTTCACTCTTTCAGACCGGGAACCCACTCGCTGCAGGACGGAGGGCGAGGTCTTTGAGGACCCCAGGGTGGCTGACAGGAGGCTGTCTGCTCACATCAGGTGAGGGGCTGGGGGCTGGCTCCACCCTCCAGGTGTACCCTCCCCACGGGGAGCAGCCGCCCACACCCCTGCTTCCTGCATCCTCGGGCTGCCCCCTCAGGGCAGACTGACCTGGGTGTGGAGGAGCACTGGGTACAGCCCCCACTGGGGTGAGGGTACTGTCTTGTGGCCCGGTACTCGGGCTGGAGCTGAGCACATCCAGTGTCTGTCCGAGGGCTGGGTGAGGCTTGAAGGGCAGGTCAGCCGAGGGCCCTTAGTCCAGCCACTCGGACACACTGTGATTCCACTCACCAGCTGTGGTGGTGACCGGGCCAGTGGAGGTCTCAGAGCAGTGACCCAGTCTCTGCCTCGGGGACCAGGAGATGGGAGTTCCTGCAGGTTCCCTAAGGCAGTCGGCAGCAGCGATCCTGGGGTGTTGGTGGGGTCCCGGGCCAGCACCCATCCTTTCTGATGCTTCTCTCTGGGTGGTGGGTGCTGGTCAGAGTCCACTGCCCGGGACCATCCCCTTCCGTGCCCCCGTCATCTCCGAGGAAGGTCTGCTCTGGCCTTGTGTGAAGGTCAGGTCCCTTCTGCCCTGTGCCCCACGCAGGAGGCCCAATGCTGACTCCCACCCCTGCCCCGTGAGGGGGCTGTACTGCGTGGATGAGAACACTGAGCGGAGAAACCACTACCTGGACCTGGCCGGAATAGAGAACTACACGTCTAAATTCGGACCTGGTAGGTACGGGGTGGGACCTGGGTGAGAGGCCTCCTTTAGCAGCATGAGCCCTGGCCTGGGGTTCTAGGGCTCCTGCCACAACTACGCTGCGGCATTGCGTCCAGGCGTGTACGTGGGGGTCGGGAGGGTGCCTGGTCCAAGGCGAGGTGTCAGGCCTGCAGAGGGTCTTATGGTCTGTGTCCCGTGTGTGCAGGGTCCCCACCAGCACAGGCCAAGCAGGAGCACCAGGGCAAGGCCTCACACCCCCCGAGCAGGTCTCGCTCCCAGGAGTCAGATGCACACACTGTGCACAACCGCAGGTCCCAGGTGCTGGCTGACCATGTCCTGCTGGCCGGCGACCCCACTGCCCGGGCCCTGGACGTGCAGCCCCGGCTGAAGGGGCAGGAAAAGCAGTTCCTCAAGTCCCCCAAGGGCGCGGGCAGGCCACCTGGGGTGCCCAGTGGGGGCGTGCCCATTGGGGGCATGCCAGGTGGGGGCAAGCCCGGGAGGGCTTTCAGCTACCACCCACCGGCTGCCTTGCCCCAGGCCCCCCAGG